AGAGTGTGGAAAATCGCTTGCATTTGAAGAGGAGACTTTATCGTTTCCAGTTGAAGAAGGGAACCTCCATTAGAGATCACATGAACCACTACACAAAACTTCTTACGGATTTGGCGAATGTGGATGTCAAGATTGAAGATGAGGACAAGGCGTTGCTGTTATTGAGTTCCTTGCCCGACGAGGAATATGTGACCTTCGTCCTTACTCTGATTAATGGGAAGGCATCTCTTTCGTATAGTGAGGTTGCTGCTGCACTGGTAAATTATCAGCTTCGAAAGAAGGATAAGGAGACTTCGACCGAGTCGGTAGTAGAGGCGTTGGTCGCAAGAGGGAAGAATCCGAACCGGAAGAATTGGAAGTCACAGTCTAGAGTAGGGCATCCTACAATTGGAAAAGATCAGTGTGTTTGGTGCAAGGAGACTGGTCATTGGAAGAAAGACTGTCCAAAGCTCGACGAATGGATGAAGAATAAGCATAAGGGAAAAGGGAAGCAACCATCATCAGAAGCAAACATCGTATCGGATGGTAATAATTCTGACTCTTCTATTTATTCGCTTTCTATCAGTCCTACAGATAGCTATTCGGAGGAATCTGAATGGATGTTGGATAGTGGTGCGACCTATCATGTGTGCCCTAGAAGGGAATGGTTCTTCAGTTTTGAGAAGCTGGTGGATAGTGGTGTGGTATACATGGCTGATAACCATGCATGCCAGATCCTTGGGATAGGAAGAATTCGTATAAAGATGTTTGACGACACTGTTAGGGAGTTAAATGATGTGAGATATGTTCCTTCTTTGAGGAAGAACTTGATCTCGATTGGAGCTTTGTGAGATATGTTCCTTCTTTGAGGAAGAACTTGATCTCGATTGGAGCTTTGGTTGGAGAGGATCTGAATGTTCGAATTGAGGACATGGTTCTCGAGCTTTGGTTGGAGAGGATCTGAATGTTCGAATTGAGGACATGGTTCTCAAGATTGTGAAAGACTCTCGAATTGTGATGAAGGGTGTCAGGAGGAATAACATGTATTACTTGACTGGAGGTATAGAGGCAGGTGGAGAGCTAGCGACTTCTATTGATTTGACTAGACTGCGGCATTTGGGGCTTGGCCATTCTAGTATTGATTCCTCACATAGATTGAAAGAGGGTGTGAAGACCTGCAATTTAAAGTCCAGTGAATATGTTGATGTGAGCAAGAAGACCGAGGTGAAGTTTGACACCTCTATTCACCGAGTTAAGGGTCGTTCTGAAGGAGTTCACGTGGATGTTTGGGGGCCTTCCAAGGGGGCATCATTGGGAGGTAATAGGCGTTTGGTTTTCTTTGTTGGTGGCTGTTCTAGGCGTGTTTGGGTTGCAACCAAATCCCCGATGGATAAAGTCCTAGTAGTCTCTAACAGTTTGAAGAAGTGTGTGATAGACAGAAAGGTGAAGATACTTCATTCTGGTGGGAGGTACAAGATGGACCTGTTTCTGCATTGGAGCCGAGCTCACGGCATTTCGAGACACTTCGTTGGAAAGAAAATCTTGGGACAACTAGATAGGGTGACAAATTTGGAGAACCGTGCCTTGCTGGAGGAGGATCGGTGTTTGTTGTCAAGCAATGGTCTACAGAAGAGTTTCTGGACTGAGGCTTCGACATATTTGGGTCATCCTATTAAAGAGTTGTCAAGTGCTGTGATAGGAGGTAAAACTCCATTGGAAGATAGGTCTGGTAGTGTCACTTTGGTTGAGGCTTCGATGAGGAAGCCAATTGACTCTCAGCAGGTGGAGAGTTTTGGACAGACCTTAGAGGTATCGCAGCGGGTGGAGATTGATGCTACTCCACATTGGGTGGGGATTTTGCCACATACTCCAGGTCAGTCTGCATTGGTTGGGATTCCAGCTGAGGTGACACAGCGTGGGAGTCATTTGGATTCGGATGCGGATGATGAGTTGGGTTTTGATTCGAGTGCAGCTGATAGATGTAGTTTGGATATGACCATTAGTTCACCTCAGGTGGAGGTATTTGAGGCCATTGGAGGTGCTATCAGTCGCAGACTTGATGATGATATTGGAGAAGGGTTGCGAACTCTTCTATTGGATTGAGGTCGTTAGCGGCCATTTGGGTGAACTACGTTCAGCTTGATTCATTGGGCAAGAGGATACGTAGGCAGTCTTTATGATGCAGCCGGGTTGGATTTTGATAGGGGTGAGATTGATTTGGTGAGTTGATACCGATATTTGGAGAGTGTTTGCATTCTCATTTGGGTCTTGACTTGTTATGGATTGAGTCCGTTGTCGTGAATTGTTTCACTTCGTACTGAACACAACAAGTAAGACATTTGTTTTGGTTGGTGTCGGCTCAGTTTTCGAAAACTTCACCGAGGTGGAGAATTGTGAACGAACGGGATGTGTGGTGGGCCACACCCACGTGATTGCTCTTCACAGGTGAACGAACATCAGCAGAGCACACGGTTTCAAAGCGTGTGGGGGCCACATGAGTAGCATCTCGTGATAGACCCAGGCAAAGGCCCACCCGATTAACCAATAGGCTATAAATAGGAACATTGTTTTTTAGCCTAGGTTTTTAGTGCAAATTTGAGGGGTGGAATAGCGTGCAAAGGGCGGCTGCAGAGGTGAAAAAGGCAGAGGCTTGGACGGCGTGCAAAAGGCAGTTGTGGATTTTTTCTTGGGCTTCGTGCAGAGGAGAAAAAAAATCCTATTTGGTGGTTGTTTTGTGAGAGATTAGAGAGTTAGTTTGAGGGTTTAGTTTATGAGATTGTAACCCTATTGTATTTTCTCTCTAATAGTAGATCCCCCCTCCTTGTCCCGTAGACGTAGGCAGTTTGCCGAACCATGTAAAATTGGTTTGTTTGAGTTTGTGACCATTGTAATAGTTTTAGGATCCCTCGACAAGTCAGTCCTAGAACTGATGAGAGGAAGAGCCGATATCTCACTTTGGTGAGATATTTGCTTCAGATTCTTGTCTTCTTGGTGAGACGGGAATTCTTATTGATCTTTCTCTCTTATTGTGCACCAAAAACTCTGCCGAAATTTCCACTGCGCACAACAGAAACATACCAAAGCTTTCCCATGAATGAGATAACTTTTTGATGATTGCCATGACTTGAAACTTTTTCACGAAGCTATATTTCAACTTCTCACAGAGCATGAAGAATGAACAGAAGTTCATATGCTTGTTCTGCCACAGATTTAACCTCGATCCTGTAAAATTTTAAAAATTTGGACGCATAATGCTTTTCAAGACCGAGGTCCTCAGTATTGTATTTTTCTTTCTGATTTATCCCATAGAGTCTTTTCAAGACCGATTTACTTAGTATTGTATTTTTCTTTCCAATTCATCCCATAGAACCTTTACAGTGACCAACAATAGACATCGAAGAGCACATTTGACATAGCCAACAAAATGCATCCTCTGGCTATTTGATCCTTCTCCGTCGACTGTGCAACTTTCTTTGCACCATTAGGATCATTCATCTGATTGTGGGCATTCTGACAGTATCATTGCTGATAGCCCCTTAGTTGTGAACAAAGTCTTCATATGTTGCTGCCAATGTTTGAAGAACTGATCTGCGTTATCTAGCATTCAAAACTTGTCCACTTTTTAGGGGTAAAGACACCATAACAAAATCCTGAAACAGAAAATATAACTTTGAATATTGTTAATTTCTTCAAGATTGTACAAAAAATACAGATAATAACATATCCATATGTGAGGATATACCAAATCAGAACAAACCATATATGTAGAAAGAAATAGAATAGAAAATAAATAAGAATATCATTGTATTAAACGTAGAGGAGAAATACTTTATAGAAATATCGAATTGCCCATTGAACAGAGAACTAGCCTTGAAGAAATTATGCTCCATCTACAGTAGTGTTGAGTCTGCACAATACTACTGCAACCAACAGTGCACTCAATGAGCTTATAAGCTGCTAATATAGTTTAATGTATAAATGAGTATGCATCCCTCTCCCTCTCAATATAATGTGTGTAGGTACATGCTTAACATCGATGAATAGGTGAGTGTTTTCACTAGTATATTTTTCCACAGAACGTTTTTACTGGCTCTCTAGTTAGAGCTCCAATTAACACAAGACAATCCCTTTTGTCCACCGAAGCGTGAAGACTGACGAAACTATACATCCCCTCAGAACTACCTGCATGCGGCAGGTGGTTCTAAGCCACTAAGTTGGGGGCAATTTACCAAATTGCCCACCTGTTTAGCACTTGGACTGTCCGAACCGCTGGCTCGCATGCTAGGAATAGTACTTCATTGATGGTGTCGATAACCTACAGACACTCCTGCAGCTCATCTCGGATTATGGCGGTTTTGTTTAAATATGGACCTTATTTGGACTCTATCCCGAAACAAATGATGAGCTTGATGTACAAGGATTATGGTCATTCACTACGTAAACAAACTATACACTGACGAGTGACAATCTAATCCTCTATACCTAAAAGAGAATCCAAAGAATCATTATTCATGTCACAGTAAATTACTGTGCCATGAACAGTAAATCAAATACGCTCCTCTACACTCCGAGTATTGTTCATGTTACAGTAATTTACTATATCATAAGCAGTAAATCAAATCTGCTTCTGCTCCTCCATAATTGAAGTTACCATTCATGTTACAATTACTGTGTGATAAACAGTAAAGCAAATTAAATATATTAAAACTTGAACCCTCCTTTAACTATAAATGAGTAGATATGATTACTAAATCAAATGTATTAAAACTTGGATTCTTTTTTAAGCATAGAGGAGTAGATGTAATTAAATTAAAATACAGTATTTGGAAAAACAGGAGGCGGGGGTTTGCATGGGTGCACACCAGTAAACAATTAAATGAAAACCGTAGGCCAACATGGGTCGTCTGGACTCAACAACAGCCCAGGGCCAATTCGGATGCGAGTCCGAACCCGAATTACTGTAATTACTTTTACAAAGCAGGGCAAATTATCTCCCCTCTTTTTCCTTAAATTTACAAGTTTACCTTCCTCTCGATCGACTCCTCGAAAATCCCCGATCTCTTCTCCCTCTCTTTCTCTCACAATCGATTTATCGCCCCCCTTTAATTTATTTATTTATTTTTTTAAATTTCATCAGAAAAAAGAGAGAAAATGTCTGGAAAAGGAGCGAAGGGATTGATAATGGGGAAATCGTCGGCGATGAACAAGGACAAGGACAAGAAGAAGCCTGTGTCTCGCTCTTCTCGCGCTGGACTTCAGGTCAAATTTCTCTCTCTCTCTCTCTCTCTCTCTCTCTCTCTCTCTCTTTAAATAACTATTTTTTGTAATTGAGTATCATCTGGTGCTGTTTTAAGTCGAAGACAGTCCAGTTGTTTGTAGTTCAAGCGGTGGAGTTTCTTCTTAGATTGTAACGATTCAGAAGAAAGTCCAAATCTTGAGTTTGATGATGAGTGTAGAAGAGAGTTTTTGGACAAAATTTTGAAATTTTGGAGGCTGTACTTGGGATTTTTTTGGGTTTTGATTGTTGTGTGAGTTGAAAGTGCGGTGCCCATGAGATTGAAGAGTTATCAAGTGATGCGATTTCAGGAAAGAGAGAAAAGGAGAGAGAATGTGACGTGGCATATTAATGAGAAAATTGACGAAGTTCAGTAGGCTTGATCTGTAGATGCTGCATGTCATAGGGAAGCCGAAAGAAAATTAATAGTGCGTGAAATAGATATTGTTTTTCAAAAAGAAAATGAAGATGTAGGTACTGAAACAGTTGCCACTTGTTATCCCAATAGTCAATGGAAGCAGCCTTGGTACATAATAGTAGATTAATATGATGATATGATAAAATTAGGGGTGGCAGTTTTTGACCCGACCCATCAACCCGACCCGACCCGACCCGTTTATATTGGATATGGGTCAAGTTATATGGGTCGGGTCATAAACGGGTCAACCCTAACTGACCCATTTATTAGATGGGTAAGTTAGGGTTGACCCGCCTGACCCGTGTAACACAAAGAGCTCACCCGTATAAGCGCATAACACCGCGACCGAAAATATCAGACCATCACATTCCTTCGTCTAGCAACTCGTCCTCTCTTCGTCTCTCATAAACCAAACCCTAGATTTTCCATCTGCGTGCGGCGGCGAGCGGCGAGCGGCAGCGAGGAGCGAGCGGCGGCGATAGGCGAGAGGTGACGGCGAGGGCGTCGTTTTCAAAAGTGACGACGAGTGACGGCGAGCGACGAGCGGCGACAAACGGCGAGCTCGATCTATTCTGTAAGTTCTCTCTTTCTCTCTCTAAGCTTCATCAAAATTAGGTTTCTTTCATTTTGCTCAAATTTCTTTAAATTAATTTGATTCAAGCTCAAATGTTCCGTTTCCAGAGTTGATCATTGGCTTTCATGTAAATTAATTTGATCATAGATAATCTATTCCTCTTTCTAAGGTTTCATTCATGCTCATTTATTGCCCAATTTGTGATCTGTTGAATTTTGGGGATTCTATGATCTAGTGATTCTTTTCGTACCATATATTGTTCTTTTCGTATTTTTAATTTTCAGAAACAGCCTACGAAACAAGCACACGGCACTAATTTTTCAGTTAGTTAAGACAATTTGACATGATTAATGGCTGAGTTGAGGGAAAACTATATTTATTCATTAAATAAGTATATATGTGTGAAGACTTTGACCTGGTTCTCTTGTCTTAAAGTACTATTTCTTCATGTTGAAGCTGGTAAAGGGTAGTTGGTGAAAGATATATGATTTAAGCTGGGTTAGGTAAGACTCTTGAATTTGGGAATATTATTTGGATTAGTTCAGAGTACTCTTTGGTTGCAACTTATGGTTGCATTTTGTACAAGGAAGTTGTTTTCTTAATGCAATAAGAAAGATGATGAAAGTCTTAAAGTACTATTTCCTTTTGTGTTTGTACTGACTAAGTAGTTATGTGACAGGCAGGGATTCTTTATTCGGTTAAAGTGTTGCTTTGCTGAATTTGTGTTATCTGTTGAATTTTATTTAATTTTATGAATCTTATGTAGTTTTGTAATTTTCATTACAGTTAATGGAGTCTAATTAGCATAATCATCATGATATGTTTACTGATAAAAAAATCTATGTTCCTCGGGTTTCTCATGAATTTATAATAAAATTTCATCTTTTCTATGTTCCTTTTTGTTTCTCTGTCATTTATATATTACAAGTTGTATTTTGGCCGGAAAAAAACCCTTAAGTTATTAAACGGGTCATTCGGGTTATATGGGTCGGGTCGGGTAACCCGTTTAATAAATGGGTCGGGTCACATTGACCCATTTATTAAACGGGTCGGGCTTTCCTTAACTTCCTTTCACCTCCTACGAATCCAAACATGCCCTTAATTAGGGAAGTGGTGTCACGTGACTGATACCACCTCCCGTAGGATGGATCTGCCATTGCGTATGTATGCACCCATGTCATGTTGATGACTGCTACGTGAACATTAACAGTAATTAAGCAATTATGTATTCTGTTTTTATTTTTATTTTTTTTCCGTTCTACCAACCAAAGTTTACTTTAATATTATCATCTCATCTTCTTCTAAATGGTTTGTTCTGTTTTTCTTCTTATGTTTATTCCAGCTTTTGTCTGAACCGCCAGATATAGGAATGTTAACTAAACAATTGTCAATTCAAATAAATAAATAAGAAAAACTTGGACTTAATCTATTCAACATTCTAAAGAGAACAGTCATAAATATAAATCCTTGCGCTTGAAGGAGAGAGATGCACACGTATGCAACCATGTCATAGTGCTGACTGATGTTGGAGGTAGGGGTGGCAGTTTTTAACCCGACCCATTAACCCGATTAGACCTGACCCGTTTATATTAAGTATAAGTCAAGTTATATGGGTCGGGTCATAAACGGCTCAACCCAAACTGACCTGTTTATTAAATGGGTAAGTTAGGGTTGACCCGTGTAAGATAAAGAGCTCACCCGTCCTCTCTTCGTCTCTCATAAACACCGCGATTGAAAATTCGGGCCGTCACGTTGTTTTGTCTAGCAACCCGTCCTCTCTTCGTCTCTCATAAACGAAACCCTAGATTTCCCATCTGCGTGCGGCGGCGAGCGGCGAGCGGCAGCGAGGAGCGAGCGGCGGCGATAGGCGAGAGGTGACAACGAGTGACGGCGAGCGGCGTCGTTTCATCAAAAGTGACGACGAGTGACGCCGAGCGACGAGCGGCGACAAACGGCGAGCTCGATCAATTCTGTAAGTTCTCTCTTTCTCTCTCTAAGCTTCATCAAAATTAGGTTTCTTTCATTTTGCTCAAATTTCTTTAAATTAATTTGATTCAAGCTCAAATGTTCCGTTTCCAGAGTTGATCATTGGCTTTCATGTAAATTAATTTGATCATAGATAATCTATTCCTCTTTCTAAGGTTTCATTCATGCTCATTTATTGCCCAATTTGTGATCTGTTGAATTTTGGGGAGTCTATGATCTAGTGATTCTTTTTGTACCATATATTGTTCTTTTCGTATTTTTAATTTTCAGAAACAGCCTACGAAACAAGCACACGGCACTAATTTTTCAGTTAGTTAAGACAATTTGACATGATTAATGGCTGAGTTGAGGGAAAACTATATTTATTCATTAAATAAGTATATATGTGTGAAGACTTTGACCTGGTTCTCTTGTCTTAAAGTACTATTTCTTCATGTTGAAGCTGGTAAAGGGTAGTTGGTGAAAGATATATGATTTAAGCTGGGTTAGGTAAGACTCTTGAATTTGGGAATATTATTTGGATTAGTTCAGAGTACTCTTTGGTTGCAACTTATGGTTGCATTTTGTACAAGGAAGTTGTTTTCTTAATGCAATAAGAAAGATGATGAAAGTCTTAAAGTACTATTTCCTTTTGTGTTTGTACTGACTAAGTAGTTATGTGACAGGCAGGGATTCTTTATTCGGTTAAAGTGTTGCTTTGCTGAATTTGTGTTATCTGTTGAATTTTATTTAATTTTATGAATCTTATGTAGTTTTGTAATTTTCAATACAGTTAATGGAGTCTAATTCCAGGATCAGTTGTGACCACGTACGTATTATATGCATCTACGTCTGATCAGTTGTGGTCACACTTCCTAGGTTGTTTAGTTCATGCACTTGCACTCTGCAATGTCAGGGGGAAATGAAACTTGTTTTAGTGCACATCTGCGAATCAAATTTCTTGGTGCTTGATGCTATTGCTCCCCTGCCTCCCTTTATTTTCAGCATGGTGTCTACTTTTCCTGCATCCTAAAGCATAACTACCTATGATTACCACTCAGCATGTTCACTTTAGGTTGTATAGTTTGTGTAGGCATAACTTGATAATATTTCCTAGGATGGTACCTTGAAGGTCATGTAGTTAACAATAAATTATTACCCATCTAACTACTGTTCAATAGGAGGCAATGCTTGTCTTTGATGATCATTTAGTGAGAAAATGATGTATATTCGACTGGCTAAATACTAATTGGTTTTAGTAATTAGTAAGTCACCACATTGATTGTGAAATTTAACTGGGAGTTTGATGGAAGCTGACATATTTTACTTTGTTTAAAACCTTGTTGTCAATTTGGCTTACTTTATATTTTGTGGCGCTAAGGAAAAAGCTAGCTTGTTCCATTGTCAAATGTAGTTACAAGCGCACATGTCATGGACATTATATTGCAGCAGGGATCAACTTGACATGGCAGTTACTCGGTTCTCTTGTTAAATATGTATTTGGATGTGTCAGAATATAATGTTTTCCGTCCATAATGAAGTTGTATGAGGGTTCTTCACATATGTGAGAAAAAGAAATGTCCTTCAGTAAGCTTCTCTCATCTTTCATTTGAGGAAAACAAATAACAACGTCCTTTAAATTCTGTGCTTTCTTTTCATTATATATTTTACAGTTAGCAGACTGTATATTGCATTAATTGAGCAGCGACTGGTTTCTTTTCGTCCGGTGATTATATTGACGACGTGTGTGTTGTATTTGCTTTCAAGGTCAGATCGACAGTATTGTTGTTGAAGAGTAGCTTTTGTTATAAAGGAACATGCTCCTTGATTTTTTTGTTGTAAAGTTCTAATTATTCATTTATTCATGCCTATTTTAGGCTATCTCAGACAAGAAAATCGCCACAATATCATCTGATGGCTTTTGGGAAGAAGAAGAAAGTTTCAACTGCACATTTAGTCAACTCAAAGTTGTGGAGGTGACTGACTTCAGCGGCATCACATCTGAACTTAAGCTCATCGAGTTTGTGCTTGCTAATTCACCTGTTCTTGGCTTTTGTGAAGGAGCAGAAGTTTGTTACTGTTGTAATTTTTTTTGTGTAAATAATATTGTCTGTAATTAGTTCTTGTGTTTGAACACCTTAGTGCATGTAATTTTTTTGTTGAGGCCACACTTTTACAAAAATTTGTTCATGTTATAATTGCTATAGCTGAACAGGGAAATTGCTATCTGTTACTGATAAAACTATGTCTAGAGAGGTGTGCTTTAATGAACTTTTTTCTGTTACTTGATCTTTATGCTAGTACTTTGTATGTGTTGTGATTTTGTTCCTGGCCCTTTTTGTGTTAATACCTTGGCAAGTTTGCTATTATTTTGATGTTTTCTGTTTGCTTTCTTTGGATCAATTTCTTTGTATCAATTTGGTAAGCTTGTTTTTGTTTTAAATTGAAAAATTTAACTTCTGTTATTTATCAGGATTTTTTGTATTTAAACTTGGTGTTTTGATTAAGTTGAGAGTTTTCATAACCATTACATTTTTTATGTGCAAGTTTGAACAATGTTGGTTCTGGATAAAATCTAACTGGTTAAATTTAGTGCTTCTGGCGATTTCTCAACTCTGAATATATTGCATTAATTGAGTATGATTTCTACCTATCAGCTTAATTTCTCATGCATGTGTGTTGTGTGACATCTTGCAATGCTCTAAGCATGATACTCAGCCTCCTAAAGATGTCTGCTCATTATCATTAAGTGCATGAGCAATTAGCATAATCATCATGATATGTTTACTGATAAAAAATCTATGTTTCTCGGGTTTCTCATGAATTTATAATAAAATTTCATCTTTTCTACGTTCCTTTTTGTTTCTCTGTCATTTATATATTACAAGTTGTATTTTGGCCGGAAAAAAACCCTTAAGTTATTAAACGGGTCATTCGGGTTATATGGGTCGGGTCGGGTAACCCGTTTAATAAATGGGTCGGGTCACATTGACCCATTTATTAAACGGGTCGGGGCGGGTCACACTTATACGGGTCGGGTAAACTATGACCCGACCCCCCCCCCCCCGCCCCGACCCGTTTGCCACCCCTAGATAAAATGAAGGATGCGTGAGAATCATAAAGGGGTTCTGCAAAATGAATGGAAATGTCTCAACTCTCAAGTTGTAAATGATATGTGGAGGTGACATAATGGGGGGTAAGAGATAACAGATGCATGTCCCATGACTAAGAAGGAGGGGGTTGGTGTCACTATAGGGTGAAGGAGAAGGGACGAATGTCCTACGACTAAGAAAGAGGTGGAGAGGTGGCATTATATGGTAGAAGAAGGGACACATGTCTCATGACTAAGATGGAAGTCGGTGGAAAGGGGGATCTGGTCCCCCTTTCTCCCCTCATGATCCCTTTCTTAACAAACAAGAAGGACAAAAGGAGGAACGAAAGAAGAGTATAATAAATTGGAAGAGGAGGAAAATCAAGTGAACTATTAAAGGATTACAAAAAACTATTTATTGATTTTAGAAATAACGAATTGTTTGGCTTTCAACTAATACAACTTAGTTGGATGTCAGGTAGAATTAAGATAATTGAGAAATCAAGATAGGATGTAAGTACTATTGTATAGGCATACATTATACATTGAGTTAGATGTTGTATTAGTAGTACTTGAGGAGTCATGTAAGGAACTTGGAATGCAGAAAATATGGAAGCATATCCTTTAATCGCAAAAAAGGTATCATGATGGGGAAAGAGGACTAATTAAATAACCCTCTCCACTAATTTTCATATTAGTAAAGATACATGTGTCCCTTCTCTCTCACCCTGTAGTACCACCTCTCCACCTCCTTCTTGGTCATGGGACATGCGTCCCTTCTCTCTCATCCTATAATGTCACCTCTCCACCACTTTCCTAATCTTGAGACATGTGTTCCCTCTCTCTTACCCTGTGATGCGACCTCTTCAGCTCCTTCTTAACCATGGAATGTCTTCCTTCCCTCTCATCCTATAATGTCACTTCTCCATCTCTTTCTTAGTTATGTGTTATGTGTCTAGTCTCTCTCACTATATGATGCCAACTCTCTTAATTCCTAATGAATTAATCAATGCCTGTAAATCATAGATAAATGTGGGTGTTATAGATAGAGAGAGAATTCTCGATACTATCTAAATTATTATTTTAGTGGGGAAGAATTAGATGAAATTTATTTAGTGTGAGGATGCTCAAAATATAATCTGAAGATCTATTGTGTAGACTCTTCACTTGACTTGATAAAAGATATTTGTTGGCTTAACTATGTAGCCGGTTTAGACTAGAGAATGGGGAGGATGACATTAACTATAAGTTTTATAGGATGCTGTTTCCTTTGATTTTTCTAGAGGTATCCCCATAAAGTTTCATTAAATACACTGAATTTTCTTCTCGTGCTGCTGTGATTCTACTTGTGGATTATTTTACATCTTGGTCCTTCATTTGGTGTTTGTCTGTATGTGTACTATGGCCTTTCAGTGGGGTGTTCTCATGTTTTGTGCGAGTGGAGAGAAAAGGAGGGCAACTGATATGTTCAATTATGCAGAACAGCTGTGGGATATAATTCTTGGTTTCTATCAAGCTGTAAATTGTTTTGTTTGGTTTCGTTTGCTTCTGTAGTGAACTAATAGGCTCCATTCAGCTCATTGGTAATAACAAGATTTGTCATGTGGCTCCTCTCATGTCCTATGTTTTCCCCTGCAAATAATGCTGAAAGTGTTGCTACTGTCTGTAAGTTAAAATTACAACATTGTATACAGTTAACTTGGCAAAACGACGTTATATTTATCATTTATGTATGATGACATAGTGTCTTAAGGATAATGCAATTTCTGAATTGCATTGTGTACAATGTTGAGAAACTTAAAAAATTCTTTTTTGTGCGATTTGAGAATGTTGCAACTTATGCAAAGGAATCCCCCATTTTTTGTGGATATTAAAATATTAAAGCCCAAGGCATATTGTCCTCTGGGTAATAAAATGGAGCCAAAGTCTCGGCTGCTAGCAATAACTTAATAATCCACAAACAAGAGGTATAAGGTTCTACCAAACAAATAATTAGCATATGGCAGGTATAAAAGCCAATTAAGCGTATATTTTTGTTTGTAAATATGCCATGATCAATGTGTATGCCAGTTAAAAGGAGAATAAACCTAAATGGACATGGGTCTAGGCAGTAAAAATGAATGTAGTTGTTGCGATTCAATCCCCTCACTGGAGCTGAATGAAAGCAAAGGACACAGTAGCCCCAAATATTTCAGATAAAGGCTTTGTTGATTTTAACCCTCTTAGCATGTTGCAGTGTATGATACCAATTTCTGGCCTTACTGCAAAGCCTATATTCTTCCCAAGTGGCACTATTTTTATATTAGGGTTAACTACAGACAGGTGTAGTATTGTTGTTTTAAACCTACGACCCATCTATTTTTACTTTTGCAGGGAGACCCCTGAGTAAACCTTTATTTTTTACTCTTTTATCCTCAGGGCTTCTATTTGTCAAAAACAATTTCCTTTTTCTCTGAGAATAAAAGAGTCAAAACAATTCACTCAGGGGTCTATCTGCAAAAAAACTACAAGGGTAGTATGTTCAAAACAGAGATACTACAGAGGTCTGTGTGCAATTAGCCCTTTATTTTATGCTAAATCAGGTTCCTTTTAACTTTAGTTGTGGATAATGTATGCTATTGCAGTTTTCAAACAGTTCTTGATACCCATGTAATACCTTCAAAGGGCCTCACTCAGTATTTACTATTTAGGTGCCTTTCCACCGTAGTTTCTGCTTAATAGTTCTCTAGTGCTGCGGCATTAGATTACTTCATTTAGGAGTCAATAAGCAACGATTTTTCCCATACATAGCCTACAAGGCTGTGAATGTTTTGATTATTTTGATGTTGACTTGAGGAAATTATTTCATGTTTGCTGAACTTTTTATGTTTCTTTTGGACAAAATAATTATCTTTCTCCATGCATCCCATATTCTTGTCACAAGCTTATGTCTTGTATTATCAAAGTTTAAACTTTATAGGGTTAACTGTGGGTAGACCGCCTGATAGTTAGCTGTGGATGGACTCCCTGAGTGGATTTTATTTATTCATTTAACCTTAGAGAAAGATTCAATTGCTTTTTGACAAATAGACCTCCTGAGGGTAAAATAGTCAAAAGTTTTCGCACAGAGGGTATATCTGCAATAATAGAACTATAGGGGTCCTGTCTGCAATTGGGTGATAGTACACGGGGTCTATTGGCAATTAACCCAAGTTTATATTGGTTCTGAGCCCTGAGTTCTGACCTTTGACATAGGTTTTTATGGTTTCCCCTCTTGTTCCTTTTCCTTTCATTTCATCTTTTGCAGTTTCCTGTTGGTCGTATCCATCGTCTCCTGAAGTCCCGAATCGCTGCAAATGGTAGAGTCGGAGCTACCGCCGCAGTATACTCTGCGGCTATTCTTGAGTACTTGACTGCTGAAGTGTTGGAGTTAGCTGGCAATGCGAGCAAAGATCTGAAGGTTAAGAGAATCACTCCAAGACATCTTCAGCTTGCAATTAGAGGCGATGAGGAGCTTGATACCCTTATCAAAGGGACAATCGCTGGAGGTGGTGTGATCCCTCACATTCACAAGTCCCTCATCAACAAATCCTCCAAAGATTGAGTTCCAGTTTTCAAAAGTTTATCTATTATTTTTCTCATTGTTGGTAACCATAACTTGAGATCTTTCGTATCTTCGTATCTGGATGATTGAGTATCTTTTTGGTGGCAATAAGCTGTGCCCACGTGGAGCTTCAGTTACTTTAGTTTCATTGGATTCTTTGAATTATTCTGCAGAAAGTGGAAGTATTTGTTATTATAGATGCTTTATTTCCAGACACCATTAGAAGATATGAACAGTCGTTTTTTATGACGCATCTCTTTTCTATTTTGCCTTGTGATGTAGTTTCATCCTGATGTGTAATTTGGTGAATATATTGAATTTCTTTGACTGCTAATTTGTTTTCTGGCTAATTACTTGACCTATTGAAGAGGATGGAAGGCTTTCTTTGTACTCTCCTTTTCCTTTTTTTTTTATTTTTTTTGAAAATCATAGATGAGCAATCTAATGGAGATGAGTAATGAAGTAGAAGATTGAAATGTTCAACTTGTAGTTTTCTGAATACATCTATTTTGACCAATGAACAAATGAAGAAAGCCTAGACGAGTTGCAGTTGTTAATCCGCTCCTACATATTTATTGCTAGAAAAAGTTTTTTCTTATGTCAAACCATGACATTTACAACGTATACTTTAATAATGTTTTGTGGGGTTTTGCTTAGCATGGAAGAGAGTTTTATTATATATGTATATTATAATACATAGAGAAAAGGCAGTGATGCGATCCATGTGGGCTAATGGCTTTTATTATGCTGGGGATTCTCTGCACGAAACAGAATATTGTTTGATGGCTGTTCATAAATTTTGTGTGTTAGGTCCACCACTAGCACATGATCCCAACATTACAGCACAAATGTCGCATGCATAGTGCATGTCCATGGAAAGGACAAGATACTCAAATTTAAATTAAATGAGAGAGAGAGAGAGAGAGATCACAGAAACGTGTTGGGGGAATTTTAGTCTCCCCGCCTACTAAGATCTGTACAAACTGAAAATCAACCCACAGTCAACAAAATATAAACAACCATAATCAAAAAGAAAGAACACCGAGATTTACGTTGTTCGGTAGACCAACTTCGACCTACATCCACAGGGCAACAATACGAGAAATCCACTATATATCAGGGAGAACTACAAGAGGAACCACTTAACTCTCATCTCTCAATCTCTCAACCTCACATACATAATCAACTCTTATATTCTCTCCAAAGCCATCTCGTTACAATCTTTTGAACGGACAAAGACTGTGAAACCCTCTCCTAATGACATAATCTTTTGCACAGACAAAGACTACGAAACACTCGCTTCTCGCATAATATTCTTGAATCAGGCTATGCCCTCTGGTAAACCTAGATTACAAAAATATTGGCTCTCTCACTTCTCCTCTTCTTGGTTTTTCCTCCAACAATAGAAAAAAATATATAGGAAAATCAAAACCCTATTTCTAACCTAACTTATTAATTAGAATAGGGTTCAAACTCCTAATCATGATAAGACCCAATCTCCTAATCATGATAGATCTCTAATTCTATCTAATTCTCATGAAGTTATACAAAGAATCAAAGACAAAATCCTAACAATCTCCACCTTAGATTTGATTCCCAAACTCCCTTGAAGATATATCATCACTGTCTTAAAACTTTGTCTCTCCCGCTAGAGTCTTCTATTTCTTTCGCACTTCAAATTGAAGCACCTACACTCCAAATCAGAATACATGCACTCCAATTGGATGCCCCTATGACCCTCACTTTCATCGGTCTCATTGTGGCGCCTCCACCTCTCTTGTGTGCACCAAGAAATCTTCGCCACCTCTGACATTAGAAGCAAATCAACCATGTTTCTCCTCCTGAATTGAACTTGACAGTAGTCTTCCCCAACTTGTTATCCTCATACTCCACTTGTATCGTTCGTCTCAAATTATATCGGTGCACCTTTCCTACTCCACACACGAGCTGGATATCTCTATCTCCTCCATCACTTAGCTTGGACCGAATATGAGCGCTCATCGTCTTTAAGTCTAATGCCACCATCTCCATCAGCATGAGTGTCACTCAGTCGTGCCTGCTTGCAAGCTCCATCTAATCTTGCATTGTCCTCCTTGCGTCTACACACTAACCAAATACTACTCCTGCGATGACTCTGAATAATTATATGCTGACAACTCTACTGGTAGAATCATATCTGATTCTCTACACCAGACTCATATGTCTCATACTCGTTTGCCCTATCTGTAGGGGTGTTATCAAAGCGGATACGGTTCAGATATGGCACTTACCATATCCATATCCACTTTTTATAAACGGATACGGATACAAATACAGATTATCTTCGGTAAGAAAAAACATTAACCATATCCGCACTCATCAGAAACAGATACAGTTCGGATATTTGAGAATATGATCGGATATGATCATGGATATAAACGGATATTCAATAAATGGATATGAATTGAATATGAATTAGTACACCTATGCATTAATTACAACCAAATGGGTAAATGTATGTGGTTGTAGGCTTCCCATGTCTGGGGTTAATGCACTGAACAGTTGTCTGTAGCTCGCAGGCAGCAGTTCTTCAAATTAAAGAATCATATATCATATCAATTCACAAGTTATGAGTTCATCATAAAGTCTGGAGCAACCCATTCCTATTATTCTTGAACAGAAAAATATATAACATTACGGAAAAATGTATAACTTTTTCGTGTACATACTCAGAAAAAAATTCTAAGAAAAAAACTACTAATATAATGAAAACAACCATATATCAGACCAATTTATAATCCACATTTGCCATTATTAAACACCAAGTCAAAGATCGAATTGTTAACAAGAACATGATAACCTTCAATTAGACCTTATGTAACAATAAAGCTGTAAGTTTTAGAGAAACCTGTACCTATTTTAAGACGATGACATCTAATGATGGCGGGAGACTTGGTGAGAGATCCGAAGATGAGGCCGGAGCGAACTAGCCGAGGGATCTGAATGCCAGGCGAACTGCCCGAAGACGCATGGCGGTCTTACGAAAGAGGCGCGGGCGCGCCGAAGACGAGCGCGCTAACTAGACGATGGCGGCGCAAACGACCAACGACACGTGAACGCGAAACCACGCCGGAACTAACACGATGCGGCTGGGACGAAAAAGCGAACTGGACAAGGTGGGTTGGGATGCGGCACAGCCCGTGGACGGACGCACGCCAGCAAAAATATGACCGAATTGCAACGACGTGCGAACGGCGCAGACTGGCTCGGGCGAAGACGACGAATGGGTTGTAGTCTTGTAGAAATTGAGTGGTGGCTGGATATCACATAGTGGAGACTAGGGTTTTTTGTTGGGTTTTGGGTTAGCGGTTACGGGTTTGCAACTTTGGATACGACCCGAATCCTTATGTTTATTACATTACGGATATCCGTATCCGCAACCCTCATATCTGTATCTGAATCTGTATCCTAAAAAACCGGATCAGGATCCATATCCGAAACCATATCCGCCCGATTTTAAAAATAGCTTACATATCCGCATCCGTTCGGATACAGATGGGCATCGGTTCGGATATATCTGAATCGTTTGGCACGCCTACCTATCTGCCATCAGATCTGTCTCATCATCACAATCATAACTTTTTGGCATTTTCTGACCAATCTGAGCAAAATATGAAAAATCAAACCCTCTCATCGTGTTCAGAGCATTCTAAAACTTCGGAATCAACTCCTGGATCACTGAAATCAACCTCTGATTTACCAATCCATCGATAAAACTATCTGGACCATCCGATGTGCATCCACAACACCAAACACCAAACAAAACTCCACATCGGATCAGCAGGCCGTAATTAGACAATCAGATCACGTGAACTGCTTCTCATAATTCTTTCATGTTGACCCCACTAGCTAAATTTCCTTTTCTTCCCACACGTGTGAATCTCCTCACGTGTTGCTATATTTTTTACTCTTGCACGCAAACGAACAAACCAAAAACCATCTATGTTACCGCTCTTGCCATCGCCCACTCTTGTCGCTACTCGGCCTTCCTTTTTTTTCTTCATCTTGATTCTTGAACGCCGCTGATCCTCACTTTTGTACGGCGTCTATCTTGCGAACTCGCTCCCGGATCCATCATCATGGCTCTGATACCACTTGTTGGACAATTTTAGTCTCCCCGCCTACTACGATCTGCGTAACTTGAAAATCAACCCAAAATCAACAAGATATAAAACAACCATAATCAAGAAGAAAGAACACCGAGATTTATATGGTTCGGTTGACCAACTTCGACCTACATCCATGGGGAAACAATACGAGAAATCCACTATGTATTAGGGAGAACTACAAGAGGAACCACTCAACTCTCGTCTCTTAATCTCTTAACCTCACATACATAATCAACTCTCATATTCTCTCCAAAGCCCTCTAATTACAATCTTTTGAACGGACAAAGATTGTGAAACCCTCTCCTAATAATATAATCTTTTGCACAGACAAAGACTACGAAACCCTCGCCTCTCGCACAATATTCTTTAATCAGGCTACGCCCTCTGCTAAACCTAGATTACAAGAATATTGGCTCTCTCACTTCTCCTCTTCTTGGTTTTTCCTCAAACAATAGAAGAATATATATAGAGAAATCAAAACCATATCTCTAGCCTAGCTTCATCATTAGAATAGGATTCAAACTCCTAACATGATAAGACTCAATCTCCTAATCATGATAGATCTTTAATTTTATCTAATTCTCATGAAGTTATACAAAGAATCAAATACAAAATCCTAACAGAACAAATCAGTTCTCTCAGTGGTCATGAAATGAAGTAAAATTTTCTTATTTGTACGAGACAAAGTCTGCCTAAATGGATAGTTAAACATGTATTCTAGCAGTGTTCTCTACCTTTACGAGATAAATTAAAATTAAATCACAAATGAATCACTAGCTAACAGTATCATATATGAAGAGTAAACATTATAAATATTATGCGTGTTCAGATTAGGGGTGCATTCAGTTCGGATATGGCTCGGATATTATACTTATCATGTCCATATCCGCTTACTCATCTCGAATACAGATAGGAATACGAATATACCTTGGTAAAAAAATTTATATTCATATCCACTAAAATCTGATACCGTTACGGATATACATGCGGATATATAAGCGGATATGCATGTGGATATAAAACGGATATGAGAAAACTAGACAGTATTAGAAAAATATAGTTCACGTGATACAAAAGCTAAGATTACTCTTCCTGATCATCAAAATTAGCCACAAACCCATAATCTAAGAATTAAAACTATTGAAAGATATTTCGGATACGGATCCGGATATTTCACTACAAAACCATATTCATAACCGTATCCTATCGGTTATAGATTTGAGTAACCACATATCCGTATCCTGACAGAGACTTTGATACGGATATTTCCTCGAATAGGAATACAGTTTAGCATCGCTAGTTCAGATCCACCATTAGCACGTGGTCCTAACATTTAATTTGCGCAAATTTGCATTACATTTTGCATGATAAGTTTCCGTGCATGTACAAGACAATGCATCTACTTAAATTTTAATTGGAAAAAAAAAAAGTATAGACTTGGATGATAAAAATGAGACCTCAAAAAGAGTCCGATCCTCTCAATTATCTTGTAAGATTTCTTATATGCACAAGGTACTCAATCTAATCCAGATGGATAGTTAAACAAGTACTACAAGCATACACCCTCTCATCTTAGAACCAATCACAAAGGACCCCGCAAGTTAACATCATCGTATAAGAACGCAGCTTCTCAAAAATATCAAACAATAACACGAGGAAAGGAACCGTATATAAGAAAATGTGTAGATAGGCTAGAAGAATAGAATCCAATAGAAGCTAAAATCTTGCTGAAGGGAGCAATTTCTTCATAACATCACAATGCAAAGAGCCCAACACTAATTAGCATAAAGCCCATACTACAAATCAATAACACAACTAAAGGAGACATACTCTCTAAAACCAATAAACATAATCCCATAAAAGAATCACCTCCCTCTGACCTCTCAATCACACGCTCATATAGCAGAGAACCTTGGAACTGAAACAGGGAACCTGTTGATCTCCTCCATCCAAGGACTCTTCTCCTTTGAAGGATTCACAGTCCTCAACGCTTTCCAGACTGCGCTGTTACACTTGAATCCAGACCCGAACGCAATCTGCCACACTCTATCTCCCCTCTTCATCCTTCCCTTTGCCTCTGTATAAGCCAATTCATACCAAAGAGAACTGCTAGAAGTATTTCCAAACCGATACAAAGTCATCCTTGAAGGCTCCATATGCCACTCAGAAAGCTGCAAGTTCTTCTCCAATTCATCCAAGACCGCCCTTCCTCCCGCGTGAATGCAGAAGTGCTCAAAAGCCAGCTTAAAATCGGGTATATATGGCTTTATCTTCATCTTCAACACTTTTCGTCCTACTAGAGTAGCAAAGAAAAGCAACTGTTCAGACATTGGCAACACAAGAGGGCCTAAAGTAGTGATATTCGTCTTCAATGCATCTCCTGCAACTCCCATGAGATCTTTCGACAGAGAAACGCCGATTTTTCCCTTTTCATCCTCTTCTTGAGTCACACAGCTAAAACATTTGTCATCAGATCCTTTGTGGGTTCGAACGGTGTGAACCAACTGATACTTAGATCGCCAGCGATCACTCCTCTTGTTCGACAACAAGATCGCAGCTCCCCCCATTCTAAACAAACAGTTCGACACAAGCTTCGATCTATCATTCCCAAAATACCAATTCAGCGTAATATTCTCCATACTAACAACCAGCGCGTAAGAATTCGGATAAACCTGAAGCAGATTCTTCGCAAGGTCAATCGAAATCAGACCAGCGCTGCAACCCATCCCACCAAGATTATAGCTCACAATATTCCCCCTCAGCTTATAATGGTTCACAATCATAGCAGAAAGCGACGGCGTCGGATTGAACAAGCTACAATTGACCACCAATATCCCAATATCCTTAGCCCTGACCCCCGTCTTGGCGAAAAGCTCATCACAGGCACCAAACATGACAACCTCCGCCTCTTTCCTCGCGCTCGCCATCGAAGGATTCGGGGGCACATTGGTGACCGCCTCGGGGAGGTAAGTTTCCTCGCCAAGGCCCGATCTTTCTAGAATCTTCCTTTGGAAGTCGAGGTTCTCGGGGGTGAAGGATCCAATCAGGGCTGATCTCTCCATGAACATTGATCGAGGGCATTTGCGGTTGAGTTCGGGCTTATAACACGAGAAATTGAGTAAATAAACGGGGCGAGGGCGAGTGAGGAAATAGACGCTGGAGAGCACAACGAGGAGCGCAGAGCAAACGACTGCAGATATGAGATTGAAGCGGAGGAGGTGGTAGATATCGAGGAAGTCACGGCGAGAGAGCGAGGAGAGGTTGGCCGCCCCGCCATGGCGGCGGCCAGGGGGATCAAGAAGAGGTACATTGCGTGGGTGATCACGTAGTGATACCCAAGCTTTACGTATTTGAGCTTTACTGATTGCTTGAAATCTGGGAGCTTGGATGAGGATGATGATGATAAGTTTTGTGATGCCGTGGTTGGTTTTGGATCCGCCATTGTTGGAGAACTCTGAAAAATATTGGATCAAAAATCGCATGAACGTCAAAAACCTGATCTTTTTTTTATAAAAATCGGATTTTTACACAGAAATTGAAGGAAAGGAGGGATTTTGATTGAGACCCAGATCGAGAAACTGACCTTGAAGCTTGATTCCGGCCTTGGATCGGCGAAGAAACGCTTGTCGAATCTCTACAAGATTTTTTCTAAAAATCTAATTTATTATTATTATTTTTTTATTTTTATCTCTTGTTCAAAAAAGGAGGCGAAACTTGAGGGGGGGGCTCGACGCAGGAGCCAGGAGGGGGGACCTTTTATTTTTGATGGAAGATGGTAGGGTACGCAACGAGACCGCGGGGTTGGGAGAAATTTGCAAATTTAGAAAAGAGAAGGATTGTTTTGGGAAAAGGAAAGGAGAGAGTTGGTGGTGGTGATTAGATGGCGGATTAGTCAAAGCTTTTGAGGTCAACCGTGGAAACCTATGGGGGGAACACTGCTGTATATTTAGAGTCTTCTTAATACAATATTATAATTTTAGACTTGCAGAGTTTTTCTTGGATTCTGATTACCAACCTCTAATCCGTATTGGATCCTTTGGACTTTTTCATGGACGTTGTTTGAAAAGGATTAAAACGCTCCTGGCAATTTTTTCAATTAAACTTTAATCGTTATAGTTTGGAGAATTTTTTTGAAAAAGAATTCTTTTTCAAAAATTGCTAACAAAATCAACTGTTTTGTAAAATTATTTAGTAAAATCGAGATCTTTTTAAAAAAGGTCTACTTTGTAAAAATCCAGTTTTAAAATATACATGACTACTAGCCTGTATATTTAGTTAGTAGTCCTGTATATTTAGTTATCATTAATTAAATTTTAAGGTACTGTTTGGCAAAGGGTTAAATAAAAAATTAAGAGGTTTAATTTGTCCTTTATCTTTCCAAACATGTTAACTTGGTCAAAGGGTTAAGAAAGGGATTAACAGAAATTAATGATGTTAACCTGTCAGTTGGACGACTTTACTACTCCGCGTGAGAACGCAGAGTAAGAGTCAACAAAATAAAAGCAAATCTTCCTCTTTTATTAACAAAGCTTCTTTTTTATGACTATTTGATTGAAATTCATGTATGGTCCTCTGAGGAATTTGTCAGTGAAGTGGAACCCGGATGAAAAAAAAATTGGAGAACTTGATGGGATTTATACGAAAGTTCATGTATTTGCTGATGATAAGCCTAAGATCCAATAACATAGTAAATGATGTGGTCTTTTCCACTAGGATGTAGTTTATATGTTTTTGACTATGTTGAAAGGTTTAATTTGCTCTGGAGTTCTCAAGACCGGATTTTGAGTTCATGGATTTTATATTTGATATAGTCTTTGTTAGGAAATTAGGTTGTTGTTTAGACCGAATTTAACACAATAATCAGATTTGAACAGTTAATAAAATCCAGACAATGACAGATTAAGGGCCCGTTTGGATAATGGAAGTATTGAAAGTAAGAAGTAGATTACGGAAGTAACTTCCAAAACTATGAAGTAGGAAGTAACGGAAATAACATTTTTTTTGTTTGTTTCATATATTTTTAGAAGTAATGGAAGTAGAACTTCTTCCTCTTCATTTATTTTTTTTGTTTGGATAATATTTGGAAATATTACTTGGAAGTAATTAATACTGTTGCTTCCATTTTATTCTTATTTGGATTGTCATTGAAATGGAAATAGAACTGTTGTTGCAATCAATTGAAGAGACCAATATTCATATAGTTGATTTGCTTGATATATAATAAAGGTAATCTTACCATTTTTTGATCAAGAGGTATGACACGAAACACTGATGATAACAAGGGAGCATCCGCAGCAAACAGGAAAGAAACATAATAAACTATGGAATTGGTCAAGTACGAGGGTTTCAGTTTCTTATGCTTGCTATTTCGTGCAATAACAAGAAAATGAGTGAAAGTAAATCATCAGATAAATAACGTAGTACGAGGATAATGAGACGTGCAGCATAATTGCAACAAGCACATTAAATATCTATTGAATTTATTAAAAAAAGAAAGCCATTTAATAAATGAAAGCCACCAGAACGACTATAACTTCAAAGAGAACACAAAGTAATTTCTCGGAAAGTTAATCATCCCCAAAGGATTTTTTACAGTGAGCAATGACTGACTATAAGATCAACAACAAATCATCACAGTATACTGAAATCACGCTTGGTGTAGCCCAATAACTAATTATGTATTATTACTGATCAAAAGAGCAACATATCTATAGCCTTCACAAATTTGCCTCCACATCCAATGCTTATCCAATTTGCCTAAAGCATTTATTTGACTTTGAATCCATGCTACAGCAATGACTTTGATAAACCAACAATTAGGCACCAAAAAGAAAAAAGAAAAAAAAAACATCCACAAAAAATATATTGAGCTGACAAAAAGAAAGTGCTATTAAAAATTAACTAAAATAAATAAGAATCGTAGTCTTATTGTAAGCTCAATTGATATCAAAGTCCAACACGCATAATTGACAATAAACCAGTATCATTAAGTTTAAAATAAAATAATAAAGTGCAAATTTTAGGAAGCTTATTCATACTAGAAAAATAGCTTAAACTGAGAACCATTTATTAAGGGGTGCTATCCATGTTTCTGAAACTAGTAGTTCCTCTCTGAGCGTTGTCCAAAGTTGGTCACCTACCTATCCTCTCCAACACGTTAAGAATCCTCTTTCTCTGTATTGGTTCGGGCAATACCATAAAAGCCTTCGCTTCAACTTCATTCTTGTAATATTCATCGAAAACCAGCTCAAGATTATCTATGGAAATATCTTGAAAACCAAAAACCTTATCAGCAAGAACCTCAACCCAAGTTCGCTCCTTCAAACCAGTAATGGCAATGGCTACCTTTCCCATTTCCTCCACAAGTTTCTCACCAATAATTATATGGGAGTCCTCCCTTTTCTTCTTCTTTACTGGACGAGACGATTTACCACTTACAGTTTCTGGCTTGACAGTAATGCTCGGAGGGTCCACTCCGTTGAATTGTGATACACGAACTCCATCAATACCAGGACTATCTACAAGATCATCTTCGTCGATATTGATAGTTGGAATCTCTTTATCAATGTCAGGGTCATAACTTGTCTCTCTGAATTCTCCAGTAGCATGATCCTCCCCACAAATAATGCGAAGCTCTTCATATCTTGGAATTGGACAATTCAAATAAGGCTTGTATTTTGGATGTCTCTGTTTATAAGAAAATTAGAGATTTTTAATGTAATATATCAAAAAGAAAATTTTGAATTAACTTGGTGGACAAGATTAAGAAATTAATATACCTCGATAAGCTCAGCATATGTCGTGGTATCAAGTGTAATCATCTTACTCTCTTCATCTCATCCGGCTCCACTAAGTTTTTTTGCTTCACAAATAAGTTTCCACTTATCTTTGAGGGTTCGTAAGTGGTTCTCAACATTGTATGTAGTATAATTTTCTCCAAAGATAGAATTCACATGCTCAACGGCCTTTTTGAAAGCAGGGGCTTTAAATGTCTTATACACTTTATAACCATTATTAGCGAGTTCCACCAAGCAAGAAATTAATGCCTCAATATGTGGAGGTTTCCATTTTTTGTTACTAGTTCCTTTTTTCCCTCCTGTCAGAGTGTCTTTGTTCCCGGTTGACTTTCGTTTCTTCCCTTCATTCGTATGTTTTCCATCTTTTGAAGGAGAATTAACCTCAAGACTTGAAATTGAATTTTGTGAAGCATTATTCTGGGAGCTTTGTGATCGTATGATTTGTTGGCTCAAATTTATGGGTGGGAACCCAATAGGAGTTCCACCAATATTGGCATTCATGAATTGTTGATTAGGTGAATCTCCAAGACGACCAAAAACATAGGGGTTTCCAAGAGCGTGTACCCCTTGAGAACGAGAGTAATGTTGCGATTGTTGATCTAGTGTTGAAGTGACTTGAAAGTATCCAGTACTGTTACCCTCATATGCACACTTTTCTATATTCTCCATCGTCCTGTGATATTGTAAATATTCATAGAGACAACATTAATAAAGTTTACATTATGACAATTAAAAAGCAAAACTTTAAAAATAGACGTACATATATTGAAGCTCATCATAAAAAAGAATGTCAATAAAGAAATGTCAAAGATACACAAAATTTGGTTCCAGTAAGCTTGATAATAGGAAAAACATAAAAAAAAACTTGTTCACTTAATGATCTAGCATATATTGGTGGTATCAATTAAAACAATACAAAACACAAATACTAATCACCTAATCCAATTTCCACCTCATTACCTTCCTTATATCGAGCGCAATATTCTATCCACATAGACTTTGCTATTTCATCTCTTTTCTTTAACCAAGTAGCTTGTGCTTCTTTTGGTTCCCTTTTGCTTAAATTGAGCATGCTAACCTCAGGTTCTTCACTAACAAATTCACTCTCGCTTTCATCAAAAACTACATCTTCTGTTATGTAACGATCATCTGGATCAACTATCATTATATAATTATGTAGAATGCAACATGCAATAACAATCTTGACCTGTGTTTGAAATGGAAAATCAGGCCTACATGTTAGAATTTTAAAACGATTTTTCAAAATTCCAAATGCGCTCTCTATCTTTGATCGAAGTGATGAGTGACGAAGATTAAAAAGCTCTCGATGGTTCAATGGTTCTCTACCGTCTTGCTCTTTAAGATGGTAGCGCATGCCACGATAAGGTGCAATAAAACCAGGCATTGTCGTATATCCAGCATCGCAGAGATAATATTTATCTACAATATTAACATGAAACCAAATTATTAAATACTTCTTTTTAAACTAATTAAATTAATTTTGAATTTAGTTTATATTTTAGTACCTTTTATCAAACGCAATCCCTTTGGAGGAGGCATAGACAATGCATCCCTCAAAACTGTAAAGTCATTAGCGGACCCTTCCCATCCAGCCATGACATAACAAAATAGCTTATTAGGTGTAACAACTCCAAGCACATTTTGTGTGGGACCATCTTTACGACCATGAAATCGAGCAACTATATTATCAGGGACAGACGCAGCAATGTGTGTTCCATCAATCATACCAATACAGTTCTGACCATTTAAACAAATGAAACATATAAATCCACCATTTTATATTACATATTACCTTAAGAAGTATATATATAAATGATTGAAACATAATCCACTTTACCTCAAACCAAGGGTACCAAGTTGATCTACAACGATACCAAGTTGATCTACAACGAATCTCATCGGATACCTCACCACTCGCTTGCTTCATTAGTAATGGTCTTAGTTTTAATATTGCCACGAGGACTGCATTGAAGTACCTACTAATAGTTTCGCCTGAACGTACGAAGTTTATACCAACAACCCTATTTTTTGCATTATGCCCTACTATGTGTAAAAACATAGCAACTTGCTCCTCGATGGAAACATATATGGTATCTTTAAGAAGTCTAGACTTTCGTAACATGCGAACAAGGTTAAAAAATGGACCTCTATCCATTCTTAAGTAGTCATATGCAAATGTTCTGCCGCCATAGAATAATCGGTAGATATAAGCATTTCTCAATGAATCTCTCAACTCGGTTGGTTCCCTAGAAGTTACTTCTCTTTTATTCTCAAACAACATAAAGTAAGCACACACTATACATGACACATATGCAGCAAAGCAACTTAGTGTAGCATCTCTATCTTTTGAAGGTTCCATATTCTACATAAAACAAATAAAACAATGTTATAAAATCAAAAAAGTCAGCGCATATGGTTATTATAAAAATTCGCCAATTTATTTCTCACATCGACAAAAATAAATATGATTCTCACATCCTAGTTACACTGGCATAGAACTCTTTGTAGTCAAGTTAAAGCCTATTGAGAAGGTCCCGATTTGCTTTTGGAAGCAAGAGAAGACTTTGCCTACCTTAATAATTTGATTCTTCTTACTATTTGCTTTATAATAGTATGACTATATTAAGCCACTGTTGTCTTTAACTGGTGGAATGCTTTTAAAAGGATGCAAATGAGAAAATGGATGCCTGTTACAATGTCGGTATGTTGGAGTTTTTTATGTGAAAGCAATCGTAGCATTTGCTTTCCGAACCTGATGAAGGCGAGCTCAGCAAGCACGATATGGCTTGTAGAGAATTGGGATTCTTCCAGGTATATGAGACGTGTGGTATAGTCCTCAGTACATGCGAGGCTTTGACCACTTGTTACTTCTAATCTCTCTAATCCTAAATGAAGTTATCTCCTTGCTATATGTTTCTGTATTATATAAGTGTACGTTCCACACATGTAACTATAAGAGAATAGAGGATATCTCGGTAACACCTCAAATTTCAAATGATCTGTCTGAAACTTGCATGACATCCAAATGGCAGATACAAATAACAGAAAGATAACTATGTTTTTGAAAGTGATAATAAAAAGGAGGTAATATGTGTCCTATAGTACATGGGACAGATATGTGATTAGTCCTAGCGTTTATGCTTCCAAATTCGACCTTGCTCTTCCATAAATCAAATAGTACGCTGACAACATGAAGATTTACACAAGACAAAACCCATTGCTAAAAGCTATCAATAAGTCTTGATAATGTCAATTCAACATTGTAGCTAATCAATCATGGAATATCACCAGAGGTGCTTCAAAAACTGAAGATTGTTGTATCCAAATTTTTTGAACTTCCATTTGAGCAGAAGAAGAAATATTCGATGGCAACCTATTCGATGACATTCAAGGGTACGGGCAACTATATGTAGTTTCTGAACAACAAAAGCTAGGTTAGGCAGATGTATTTGCTCTGCTAATATATCCTATGAAGTTCTGAAATATGAGTTACTGGCACTCGGAACTGAATTCATTTGTGTAAGTCCTTTTCTCTCTTAAGTCAAGACAAAAACCAGACAACATTGTCATTGCAAAAAAAATCTCCGAGTACACGAGTTGGCTGATTACACCAAGCTAGTATTCGGATGATGGTCTTATTCGGATGATGCAAGGAGTTAACACTGGTCCTATTTACATTGGAAATCATTGTAATTTTGAATCACTTGATAGTACATTTTTTGAAGAGCCGGCATCAATCCAATTACAAGCCCAAGTCAAGATTTAGTCCTTTCACCAAAAAAAAATAAATGAAAATCAACAAACTACGTAAAATTAAACCCAAAACTTGTTTTTGTGAGGAATAAATGAGGGGGGGGGATTAAGGAGAATAGTATCACATAAAATTGCTTGTGGAAACTAAAGAAAAACAGCAAACGAATAAATACATCCACCAATATTTCTTCTTTTTGTGCAAAAGATGTAATTTAATTACAATAAAAGATCAAAATTTAACCTTTACATACCTTTGTGGTGAAGCCAAGAGGAAGAAGATGAAGAAGGAATGGCGTTTTTTGCTGGGAAGTCGGCGGGAACTAGAATTACTGCCACCTTGAAGAAACCCTTTCACGCGGGGACTAATCAGTTGTGAGGATACAAGTAATTTGGGGAAGAATCGGTTGAGGAAACCTTTCATAACTATACTTTTTGAGGAGAGAGATAATCAGCTGTGTGAGGATAGGAGAGGAGTTGTTTGGGAATCATTTTTTCTGTGGACCCCACACTAAAAATCACTTCCGCCGTATTTCACAGCATTAGAGGCCGGAAAAATTTTAAGGAAATAGAGATGCCAACTAGATGACACATCAGCTTTTAAGGAAGTAGCGGAAGTAGCTTTTACGGAGAAACAAACAATATTTTTTATATGGAAGTAGCAAAAATAGCCTCTATTTCCTCTACTTCTGCTACTTCAGAGTTACTTCAGTGCAAACAAACAGGCCCTAAGAAATGAAATTGATTCAAATAAAATAAGTTAAGTTTAGTAATACGGCCTGATGATCGAAGCGTGCAAATCAATGTCCCAATAATCTAATTGTCCTCTCTCGTACGGGGCTACGCGGCAATAAATCTCGAAGATACGACGACCCTCAATCAGGTCACCTCCTTCTCGTCGGCACGAACTTCAAGAAGGCTTTGCGAACTCTTCAAGACTTTCAGGGAACCAGCAAAAGTGTAATAACAGAAATATATTTTCGAAAAGAGAATAAGAAGAGAATAGATTTGTTGTTAATCTATATTTTAGCCCTCACAGCTACAGGTCCTTATATAGGATGAAAATTGTTGTTAAGATCCACAATTATCGCCCGTTTAGATCCACGATTAGTACCGTTTAGATCCACAATTATCGTCTGTTTAGATCCGAAAATCTCGCACCCGTTTAGATCCACCAATCTCACCCATTAATGCTTAGCCCGACTCCGAACCCTCGAGGTGTCGACTCATATCGCCTTTCGTGTCGACCAGAGGGTGTCGACTCGTCTTGTTGTCTTGTTCGTTCATTCGTGTCGACTAACACCGTTTTTCATGTCGACCAGAGGGTGTCGACTCGTCATGTCGTCTCGTTAGTTCGTTTTGACTAATATCGTCTTTCGAGTAGCAAAAAACAAAGATTTAAAATGTAGCAGGTTAAGGGATCCTCAATCCGGAGCTGCATTCGTGTCCGCAAGTCGTGGGTGCGCGCCTCCCGACCCGACCCCAGCCCGGTGCGGTTCGGCGCGTGCGTGTGTGGTGTGGAGCATAACTTATATTTCCTTCCAAGCATAGGAGAGAAAGGGAAGGCTTATAAACAATCTATCTTCTCATCTCCTTTCCAATGTGGGACTAAATTTTTCCACTACAAAGTCATATTTTAAGTTACAACTCCAACAATCCCTCACATAACTTAAAACTTAAAATAATTCAGAAATAAGAGTAAAAGAAGAACTTTGAAAATAAGATTGTTGTTCCCTTATACTATGTAATAGGTGGAGGTACCTTTCGGTTTGAACCTTCACTTAGTAACAGTTTTATAGATCCGTGAGAGCTTGGTGGACTATGCCTTGAACCAGTCCCATTTATTGGATTTCTACATAAAACACACATAGTACAGTTTTGAAGAATTCTAAGCGGGTTGCGCTATTTCGGCCTTGCGCAGGTATCTTTCATGTGTGTTACTTGGGAGCAGCCCTGATCTCATAGTTGCGGCCTCACAACTACACACATATAGGTGAATCCTAATAAGGATGCAAGCAAGTAAGCATCCTGCCCATGGATCTTGGATTCAGTAAGAGCTAAACTTATCCTTTCACTTGCTTTTTATGAGCATTGATCATCCTACGGATGGGAGCAAATAAATTAAGTGTTCCTCATAATTAATCACTCGTCCAGTTTGTTTCTACCCATTGAACCTCTGCGAGGTTAGGTTACCACTGCTGTGATTTTTCTTATGGGCTTAACCCAATCCCCCTCGATGATTCTAAGATCACTTCCCTAGATAAGCCTTTAGTCAAATGATCTGTAAGATTTTTCTTTGATCTTATAAAGTCTAAAGCTATTACATGATTTTTCATTTTATATCTCAAGGATTTATGCCGCACTTTTAAGTGTCGATTCATTTTGACATTTGCATTCTCTTGGTGACATTTGTTAATCGCTGACCTGTAATCACAATGAATAGAAATAGCTAGTAATGGTTTTTGCATTAATGGAATTTCAGTTAGTAAATCTTTCAACCATTCAGCTTCTATACTAGTAGCATCAAGAGCTATCATTTCTGATTCCATTGCACTTCTAGCCACTACAGTTTTTTTAGTAGATTTTCATGAAATGTCTCCTCCTCCTAAAAGGAACACAAATCCAGTGGTAGATTTTACATATACTGAGTCACTAATCCAATTTGTATATGAGTATCCTTCTAATACAGATGGATAACATTTATAATGTAAACTATTGTTCATAGTTCCTTTTAGATATCTCAAAATTCTTTCTAGAGCATTCCAATGACTCTTATCAGGATTTGATGTTATATCTACTAAGTCTATTTACTGCATAAGCAATATCAGGTCTGGTGTAGTTTTTTAGAAATCATAATGATCCAATTATTTATGCATATTCTCTTTGTAATTAAGGATAACCTGTATTTTCTTTAGATGTACATTAGAATCATATGGAGTAGAAACAGGTTGACAGTTTGGATCATAAAAATTCTTGAGGATTTTCTCTATGTAGTGTGATTGTCATAGCACATATCTATCCTCATTCTTCAAGATTTTAGTGTTAAAAATTAGTCGGCTTGACCTAAATCTTTCATGTCGAATTTTTGTGATAAGAAGTGTTTGATTTTATTTATGGTTTGTATGTCAGGACCAAAAATAAGAATTCATCAACATATAAGCATAAAATCATAATTTTGTTGTTATTGTCTATTTTATGATATACACACTCATCTGGTTGTTATTGTCTATTTTATGATATACACACTCATCTGTTTGATTAATTTCAAATCCATAAGATAGTATGATCTCATCTTTATGATATACACACTCATCTGTTTGATTAATTTCAAATCCATAAGATAGTATGATCTCATCAAATTTTATGTGACATTGTTTTGGAGCTTGTTTGAGGCCATAGAGTAATCTAATAAGCTTGCATACCTTCTTCTCTTGTCCAGAAGCAACAAATCCCTCGGGTTGATCCATATAAATTTCTTCATCTAAATTTCTATTTAAGAATACAGTTTTAACATCCATTTGATGTATTATTAATTTATGAATGGATGCTAGAGCCATAAGGACTCTAATGATAGTAATCCTAGCTACTAGAGAATAGACATCAAAATAATCATTACCAGATTTTTAGGTATATCATTTAGCTACTAATATGGCTTTATATTTATCTATTGTTACATCAGGTCTAAGTTTCTTTTTGAATACCCATTTACATCTTATAGTTTTGCATCCTGGAGGAAGATCAATGAGTTCCCAAGTATGGTTTTGAACTATAGATTGAATCTCATTATTTATAATTTCCTTCCAAAATGGAGCATCTACTGATTTCATTACGTCCTCAAATGTAATTGGAGAATCTTCTACAATTAATGCATAAAAGTCTTCATGAACCTTTTCTATTCTAGTTCTCTTACTTCTCCTAGGTTCCTCTGGACTTTCTAGTGGTCTAATTTGTCTAGAACTGGTTTCACCTTGGCTAGAACTAGGATATGAATTGCTAGAGTTAGGGGCTGTGTTGTTTACTCTTGTTTTATAAGGAAAAATATTTTCAAAGTAATTTGCATCCCTAGCTTCAATAATGGTGTTATTGCTTATCTCATTAATATCGGAGTTGATTATTAAAAATCTATTTGCATTACTATCAGAAGCATAACCAATAAAGATTCCATCCACAGTTTTAGGGCCAATCTTCTTTCTCTTATATTTAGGTATCTTAACTTTTGTTAAGCACCCTCACACTTTCAGATGATCTAAATTAGGGTTTCTATTCTTCTAAATTATGTAAGGGGTTTTATCAGAATTCTTGAATGGAATTCTATTTAATATATGACAAGCAGTCATGAGAGCTTCTCCCCACAAATTCTCTGGCACACCAGAATTAATTAACATTGAGTTTACCATATCCATTAGTGTTCTATTCTTTCTTTCAGCTACTCCATTAGACTGAGGTGTATATGGAGTAGTTATTTCATGAATGATTCTATTTTCTTCACAGAATTATTTTAGTTCATTAAAAGTGTACTCACAACATCTATCTGATATCCAACTGATTTTCAACTTCTACTTTATATATTTTGAATTTGTTTATAACTTCATCTTTGGTCTTAATTAAGTAGAGATAACAATTAATATTTGGAACAAACATCTATAAAAGTTACAAAGTACTTATTACCTCCTCTAGATGTTCTGCCAGAATCACAGACATCACTATGGATGAGTTCTAATATCTCAGAATCTCTATCAATAGTTTTAAAGGGTTTCTTAGGAAGTTTAGCTTTGGAATTATATTAAGATGCATCAATCTTTTAATTGAATTATAATTAACATGTCCTAATCTTTGATGCCAAGTGATAGAAGGTTCGATATTCAAAGCCATTGGAGATGCAAAAGTAGAATTCTTAACATTCAATTTAAAAATACCATCACATAGAAATCATTTTCCAATAAAGTTCAATCTCTTAGTTATTACAACTTTATTTGATTCAAAAATAAGCTTATAGCCTTGTTGCACTAACAAAGATCCGCTAATCAAGTTTCTCCTAATGCCCGGTACATGATGGACATCCTGCAGGATCAAAGTCTTATCCAAAGACAGTTTTAGGTTGATCCGACCTATTCCAGATACAGGAGCCACATTATTATTTCTCATTATCACAGTTCCTCTACTTAAGACCTGATAAGTGAAAAATAGAGATTGATTAGAGCAAACGTGAATATTAGCTCCAGTGTTAATCCACTAATCATTTGCTTAAAATGTCATGTTTACTTCAGGGGTGAAGAGAACAGACCTGAAAGTAGTCTCAGCTAAACTAGAAGTCACCATGTTTACTTGTGACTTATTAGGTGGAGGTCCTTCCTTTCTAGTCTTGGGTGGTTTTGTCTTCTTGTAAAAGCAGTCCTTAGCAAGATGGTTGGTTCGTCCACAAACAAAACAGGCTCGACGTTTAGCTCCTTCCTTCTTTTGAAAGTAGACAAGGTTCTTACTTTGGTAAAAGGATTTCTTCTTAAATGTTTTATTTTGATTTTGGTAGAATGGACGTTTCTTGTGTTTGGGAAAGGGTTTGGATTCAACATTATTTACTTTGGGTTCTTTGGGTTCGGATTTTGTCATATTTTTCTCCCTGAGTCTATGTTGCTCTTCGATTCTAATGGCATTCAACACTTGTTCAAGGGTAAGATCTCCTTGGGTATAGTTAAGATTTTTGGCAAAATCTGACCAGGACTCAGGAAGTTTGTCTATAAGACAGACTATTTGAAATGTTTCATCTAAGATAGATCCATTCATTTTTAGTTGATGAACTATGTGTTCGAATTCATAAATTTGCTCATTCATTGGTTTAGAATCTACCATTTTAAATTTGTTAAAATCAGAGGTTTTAAATCTTTTAATTCCTGTATCATCTAAACCATACTTCTTCTCTAGTGTTTCTCACAAAAATTTAGCATTAGTGATAGAATAATATATGTTATATAACCTATCAGATAAGGCTCCTAAGATTCTGTGAAGCCAATGATATTCCATCTCTTGAGGTGTTCTCAGGATAGGAATGGAATCTGTGGAGGAAGATTGCCTAGTGATTGATCTAGATGAAGATGGGTTGTCGGGTTCAATTGCAGTTATTAGATTTAGAGTCGTTAACCAAAATCTCATTTGGTTTTGCCGATGACGGAAATTGTTCCCATCAAACTTCTCTGGTTTAGCTGACAGAATTTTACTTGTTGTCATAATCTGATGAAGCATGAATAATTTCGTTATTATAATACAACAAATATAATTTAAACATTCAAACAACAGAATCAAGTGTAGTATGTCGGTTTTATAAGATATAGACTGCATTAACATACGAAACAGAATACAAAACAGAATACTAAACATACTAAACATGATATTATTCTAAATAGCTCAATTAGATTCTTGGATTGTTAGGAAATTAGGTTGCTGTTTAGACCAAAGTTAACATAATAATTAGATTTGAACAGTTAATAAAATCCAGACAATGTCAGATTAAAATTATAGCACATAAATGAAATTAATTCAAAATAATATAAGTAAAGTTTAGTAATACAGCCTGATGATCGAAGCGTGCAAATCATTGTCCCAAGAATCTAATTGTCTCCTCTCGTACAGGGCTACGCGGCAATAGATCTCGGAGATACGACGACCCTCAGTCAGGCGACCTCCTTCTCGTCGGCACGAACTTCAAGAAGGCTTTGCGAACTCTTCAAGACTTTCAGGGAACCAGCGAAAGTGTAACAATAGAAAGATATTTTTGAAAAGAGAATAAGAAAAGAATAGATTTGTTGTTAATCTGTATTTTAGCCCTCATAGCTACAGGTCCTTATATAGGATGAAAATCGCTGTTAAGATCCATAATTATCACCCGTTTAGATCCACAATTAGTACCGTTTAGATCCACAATTATCGTCTGTTTAGATCCGAAAATCTTGCACCCGTTTAGATCCACCAATCTCACCCATTAATGCTTAGCCCGACTCCGAACCCTTGAGGTGTCGACTCATATCGCCTTTCGTGTCGACCAGAGGGTGTTGACTCGTCCTGTTGTCTTGTTCGTTCATTCGTGTCGACTAACACCTCCTTTCATGTCGACCAGAGGGTGTCGACTCGTCCTGTCGTCCCATTAGTTTCGACTAATATCGTCTTTCGAGTAGCATAAAACAAAGATTCAAAATGTAGCAGGTTAAGGGCCCCTCAATCCAGAGCTACATTCGTGTCCGCATGTCATATCTTCTTTCGTGTCGACTAGAGGTGTCGACTCATCCTGTTGTCTTGTTCATTCATTCTTGTCAACTAACACCACCTTTTGTATCAACCAGAGGGTGTCGACTCGTCTTGTGGCCTCGTTAGTTTCGACTAATATCGTCTTTCAAGTAGTAAAAAACAAAGATTCAAAATGTAGCAGGTTAATGGCCTCTCAATCCGGAGCTGCATTCGTGTCCGCAGGTCATTGGCGCGCACCTCCCGACCCGGCCCGGTTCGGTTCGACGCGTGCGTGTGTGGTGTGGAGCATAACCCATATTTCCTTCTAAGTATAGGAAAGAAAGGGAATGCTTATAAACAACCTATATTTCCATCTCCTTTCCAATGCGAGACTAAATTTTCCCACTACAAAGTCATGTTTTAAGTTACAACTCCAACAGTCTTTGCTATATGTTTGATTGTATATTTTGAATTAGTCTTAATTTTTATAAATTTACTTATTAAAAGTTGGAATTGCATAACAAATCGTTAGCTTTGTTAGTTTTTGAAACATATTGTAGGTCCTTGTTGAATTTAATTGCAGAGAATTGTTTGCATGATGGAATATGTTTCTTGAAGTAGTGGTGTGAACGAGAGTACTGTTCTATATGTTTTTGTTAAAATAGTGTGCATATACTTCGAGTTTAGTAAACATCAGTAAAAGCTTTGGTAGGAGAAATTTCAAACACAGTAGTAAGGCTTTGATAGTATTAGAATACAAGATACTAATTTCCTCAAATTAGAAATTAAATAAAATAAAAAAACAAACATTCAAATTAATAGTAACGCTATGCTAAAATTAGAAAACAAGATATTAATCTTCCCAAACTGAAAATTAAAGATAAATTAAAAACTTTGGGAAAAGCTAAGAAAATTAGTTTTTTTATTTTTATTTTTTCCTAGAATAGTCATCAACTGGTTTGAGGAAGGGTTGGATTGTTAGAGTTGCAGTATATGAATTGGAATTTTAAGGATGGGCAAGTTTTGAAATTTTCTAACAACGCTTTAGCAATTTAATTAAATCTTAAAGGTTATTTTGAGGATTGGGAGAGCTCAAAGTTACAGTTTTAACATTTGGTAGAACCAAAAAAAAAAAGAAAATCTAAAACTTTTCTCGTTATACAATTGATTTGACTTTGTTTTTGTTGTAATATTTATTTAGTGATCTCATATAACCAAGGCTAACATGAGAAGTACAAGAAATTTAGGTCCT